GAAAACCAAATGCTATTGGGTAAGTGCCATTAGTATGCCCTCTTTTAAAGGATGAAATTAAGACTCCAGGAATTTTGGCATGGTGGCACAACCTGTAGTTCTAACACTCGGGAAGCTGAAGCAGGGGCGACATAGTAAGTTCAAGGCCAGGCTGGACTACATTAAGAAAAGCCTGTTACAAAACAAAACACAAACAAGTAAAGAATACTCCAGGAGAAGTCATGTAACGTGCTGAGAGTGGTAGATCTAACTCATGGTTCCAAGTTAGAAACTATTTTCTAATATATTAGCCTAAAAGAATGTGTATTATCCTTGTAAATAGTTTTGGTGATTTTGTGTTTATGGGTAATAGATCCTCAGCTAATTCCTGTTACTTACAAACTGAACTTTGGCTATGTCTGTCCTCTAGAGTTCTTAAATATAAAGTTATTATTTTAATATATTTATATTTGTAAACTGGAACCTTTTATTTTCATAGGGATTTGTAACTGGAGGAAAAGATGGCATAGTAGCTCTTTGGGATGACTCCTTTGAAAGATGTCTCAAGACCTATGCTATAAAAAGAGCTGCTTTGGCCCCAGGATCTAAAGGTGATTTGAGATTTAGTTTATTTTTTTTAGAAAAATAGATTAATTGTTCATTAATATGCTTGACTACTGAGATGGAATACATGGATTATATTTTTTCCTTCTTTACGTGATGGACATCACAGTTAAATGGGAGAAGTCACTTAACTTGATTCCACAACTATTAATGTTCTTTCAAAAATCTATTTTCTGTGATATACATGATAAAATATTAGTCAAGGACAGTATTATTAGTATTAATTTTTAACATTTATAATTTTCCAAGAATATTTTATCAGTCAGGAATTTATTTTCAGACTTGGCACTTTTGTGACTTCGGTGTGTTTTCCTCCTGCCTCCATAGCCTCACAGGCCTTCTTTCCTTTGCCTTTTACTGCTTTCTTCCCCAGAACACTATGCCCCCTCTTTCTGACTCCAGGCCTTTCTTCATGCTATTACTTCTGCCTAGAATTTGTTCTTCTTTCCTCCTACCCACTCCATTTACCTAACCACGTGCCCAGTTTTCAAATCTCAAACACTATCTTATCCTTTCCTTCCCCCTAAAACGGATAAAAACCCCTTGCTATACGCTCCTTTTCCACTATGCTCCATACGTGAGCTCACTGTACACTCTGTAAGGGACAGACCATGGGTCTGTATCATGTTTACCATTATGTTACTGAAATCTAGCTTAGAATATTGTTAAGAACTCTAAGTGGAACAGGAAGTAGCTGAGGGACTAATCTAAGTGGTAAAGAAGTAGTTGTCAGGTTGGTCATAGGGGATCTGAGGTGGAATAGAATGCTATACATGTGCTTATTTTGAGATTAATAAATGAGGGAGATGCAGTGCATTATAATACTTAAAAAACAGAGGAAAAAAACCTTGTAATGTGATTTCATTGTCAAAATAACATCATTGAGGGGCTGGGGATTTAGCTCAGCGGCAAAAGCGCCTGCCTGGCAAGCGCAAGGTC